TATCTGATCTTAGTATTTTAATTTTTCTATCCAACTAATTTTCAACTCCTGCTTTATATATTTTGAATTTGTTTATAACTTCATCTTTGGTCTTAATTAAGTAGAGATAACAATATTTAGAACAATCGTCTATGAAAGTTACGAAATATTTGTTACCTCCTCTAGATGTTGTTCCTGAATCACAGACATTACTATGGATGAGTTCTAATATCTCAGAATCTCTATCAATAGTTTTAAATGGTTTCTTAGGAAGTTTGGCTTCTACACATATTTTATATTTTTTATTATCTTTTATATTAAGTTTTGGAATTATATTGAGTTGCATTAATCTTTTAATTGAATTATAATCGACATGTTCTAACCTTTGATGCCAAGTGATACAAGGTTCAATATTCAAAGCAATTGGAGATGCAAAAGTAGAATTCTTAACATTCAATTTAAAAATACCATCACATAGAAATCTGTTTCCAATAAAGTTTAATCCCTTAGTGATTACAACTTTATTTGATTCAAAAACAAGTTTATAGCCTTGTTGCACTAACAAAGATCCGCTAATCAAGTTTCTCCTAATGTCTGATACATGGTGGATATCCTGCAGGATCAAAGTCTTATCCGAAGTCAGCTTTAGATTGATCCGACCTATTCCAGATACATGAGCCACATTATTATTTCTCATTGTCAGAGTTCCTCTACTTAAGACCTAATAAGTGGAAAACAGAGATTGATTAGAGCTAACGTGAATATTACTTCCAGTGTTAATCCACCAATCATTTACTTGAAATGTCATGTTTACTTAAGGGGAGAAGAGAACAGACCTGAAAGCAGTCTCAGCTGAGCTGGAAGTCACCATGTTTACTTGTGACTTATTTGGTAGAGGTCCTCCTTTCCGAAACTTGGGTGGTTCTGTCTTCTTATAAAAGCAGTCCTTTGCAAGATGGTTGGTTCGTCCACAAACGAAACAAGCTCTACGTTCAGCTTCTTCCTTCTTTTGAAAGTGGACAGGGTTCTTATTTTGATGAAAGGATTTCTTCTTAAATGTTTTATTTTGATTTTGGTGGAATGGACGTTTCTTGTGTTGGGGAAAGGGTTTGGATTCAACATTGTTCACTTTAGGTTCTTTGAGTTTGGATTTTGTCACATTTTTCTCCCTGAGTCTATGTTGCTCTTCGATTCTAATGGCATTCAACACTTGTTCAAGGGTAAGATATCTTTGAGTATGGTTAAGGTTTTTGGCAAAATCTGACTAGGACTTGGGAATTTTGTCTGTAAGGCATGCTATCTGAAATGTTTTATCCAAGATAGATCCATTCATTTTTAGTTGGTGAACTATATATTCGAATTCATGAATTTGCTCATTCATTGGTTTAGAATCTACCATTGTAAATTTGTTAAAATCAGAGACTTTAAATCTTTTAATTCTCATATCATCTAAACCATATTTTTTCTCTAGTGTTTCCCACAGAACTTTAGCATGAGTGATAGTATAATATATATCATATAACCTATCAGATAAGGCTCTTAAGATTCTGTGTAGACAATGATACTCTATTTCTTGAGGTTTTCTCTGGATAGGAATGGAACCTGTGGAGGAAGATGAGGAAGATTGCCTAGTAATTAGTCTTGATGAAGATGGGTTGTCTGGTTCTATGATAGTTATTAGATTTAGAGTTGTTAACCAAAATCTCAATTGATTTTGCCAACGACGGAAATTGTTCCCATCAAACTTTTCTGGTTTAGCTGACATAATTTCACTTGTAGCCATAATTTGATGATGAATTAATAATTTTGTTATTATAATGCAACAGATGTGATTTAAACATTCAAACAACAGAATCAAGTGTAGCATGTCGGTTTTATAAGATATAGACTGCATTAACATAAGAAATATAATACGAAACAGAATATTAAACATACTAAACATGATATATTCTAAACAGCTCAATTAGATTCTTGAAGATACGACGACCCTCAGTCAGGCGACCTCCTTCTCGTCGGCACGAGCTTCAAGAAGGCTTTGTGAATTCTTCTCGACTTTCAGGGAACCAACAAAACGTAATAGCAAGAAAACGAAAGGAATAGAGCAGAGAAGAAGAGAGTTGTTATGTTTTTCACTATACTAAAATTCTTGCGGGTTTAGGTACTTTTACATGGTTTAAATTAATCATTTAGATCCACTTTTTACGCGTTTCAGATCTGCCATGCATGCCCTATTGAATATAAATCCATTATTATTCTAGTCGTTTTCGTCCATAATTCTCGCAACAGAGTAATTAGAACGTTTTAGTTATTCGTATTTAAAATCCACAAATTTCACTAATTAAAGCTAGCCGTTTTTCTGTCATTTAAATTAATCACGTTTTAATTGTTATAAATGTTAATCATGGTCTTTAATTAAAAAAAGAAAAGTCCAAAATATAATAGGTTAAGGAACCCTCAATCCGGAACTGCATTCGTATCCACAGGTCGTGCGCCACCCGACCCGAACCTGGCCTGATCGGCACATGCGTGTGTGGTGTGGAGCATAACCTTTATTTGATTCTAGGCATAGGAGAGAAGGGAAAGGCTTATAAACACCCTTCCTTCCCATCTCCTATCCAATGTGGGACTAAAATTTCCCACACCAAACTCAAGTTTTAAGTTACAACTCCAACAAGAGAGGGGAAACATTTTCAACAAATTCGATTTAGAATCAACTATACTTTCATAAAGGGGATACTGAAAATGAGTTGACGCCCCTTTTTTTTTTTTTTTTTTGGACTAAGAATTTGAGGTCAGCAAGACGCGGATGCATGTGGGTTGCTCTGAAATCATCTTGAAGACGATTAATACATCAAAACTCTAAAAATTGGAGGGTTTTAATTTTATACCCCAACATATATGACTAGCAAATGTCTCGCCATTAATTTATCTCCTAATAGCTTATTTACTAAAATGGGCAAAAGTAAAATTCCTTCCACAAATTGTAGCCACCACGTAGCTGCAATCGCGACTTCGTCCGTATCAAACAATCCACACTGCACATTTTTATTACTGGCTCGAACCAGACTCGCAGAACCTGGGTCATCAGATAAAAAGGTGAAGCTAACTATTTACATGTCTTCACAAAGCGGCCCGATCACAAAGATGCCATCATGTTGCTATATAGCCTCCTCCGATTCCTATTATTCACACAATTGCGGAGCAAAATCACGGAAGATATTTAATTTGCTTCTGACCGGTGAAGGTCACGGCCTTTTGTTCTTGTTAGGGCTTCAAATATCAATGTCGACGGGTCAATCACGGTAGTAAAAATTCACGGACTTGTCTCATTGGCATCAATAATGCTGAAATCTTTAGCCTTTAGCCAAAACTCCGTCCACGAGGGGAAAAAAACAAAAAAAACACCCTTATATGCGTCCAATCGTTTTTTTTTTTTTTTTTTGTTTTTTTTTAAAAAACACCCTTATATGCGTCCAATCGTTTTTTTTTTTTTTTTTTGTCTTTGTTTGCTTGTTTTCACTTGGGAGAGCAAGGATCCAATTTACTCCCTGAGTGCATTTAAATTTGGCATTTTGCTCCGGTTCAACAAGAAGAGTAGAGAGGTAGATATGAAATGACACTAGATCGAGACAGCGTTGCATAAGAAAGTTGATAGAACAGATTTAGTAATATATATAGGAGAAGTAAATATTACAACAACCAGCGACACTTATTTTATTATATCATAAGAATAATATATAAATGATAATATGCTGAATTTTGATACCATTAATTTTATAGAGAATGATTCTTTTAACATAGAATTTTTTTTTTTTTTTTTTGGTGTGTTGGAACAGATGTAATAGTTCAGGGGAGTAAAACTTTCTACCACAAGTGAACGCTTCTCTAAGTCCAATTTCTTGTTGTCGGTGTCTGGTTGTTTCACTTGGGAGAGAATAAGGTCCCACTCTTTCTTTTTTTTTCTTTTTTTCTTTCTCCTTGTGTATTCAAATTTGGTTTGTATAAGGATTTTTAATTGATGTTCGATAATGTTTGGATCTGTGGAAACGTGCGTATGACCTAAAAAGACTCTTCAAGGTTTTTGATGGAATCTTCGTTTTTGGGAAAAGTAGCAGTAAACCCAAAGAGAATGTTCAAGGAATATTTGTCTGTGGCGGGAAGAAGACCAACCCAGCTCAATGGGGTTCTGGGGACCGGAGGAAATAAAAAAACAATCTAGAGAGAAGAATAAAATCATACAAGAAGTAAGGATAACATGACACGTTGTTTTTAAAGATAGATAATGGTTGCACTGATTTTTTTTTAATGATAATGGCACTCATGTTACGTTCCCCTGCGTTATATTTTCTATAGCTTCATCAACAGGATTTCTTCGTAGGGTTCTTTCCCATGAAGATTGCTTAGGAGTTGGAATATTTACATTGTGTGTTACAGCTTTGAGGGATCGGGTGGTGACAACGGACAGTACGTAGGTGTGTTCTTATGCTGATTCTTGTTACCAAGCAAACCAAGCAAGAAATAAAATAGGTGTTCTTATGCTGATTCTTGTTACCAAGCAAACCAAGCAAGAAATAAAAGGCACTACATACTGTAGAATGTCAAGAACCAAAACCACAAAGGAGTACTGCAATGAGAAGTATCAAGTAAACCCAAGTCCGTGGATTAAACATGCACCGACAAGATATCAATCATTGCATAATTAAACTTTAGGCTAGATAGCACAGATTCATATTTAATGTCATGAACCAAGCCCAATCCGTATATGCTCATCCACAGAGATACTACACTAAAGTTAATGACACGCCAAAAGGCATCATGCTTTACACGAGCAATCAGCAGCACGCGCTTGTATACATTGACAAAGTTTACCGAGTGGCTTTATTGTAAGCAGTGATATATTTATTAAAAAAAAAAAAATCAAACATATCTCTCCAGTCTCAGAAAAATGTTGCCTGTGAACCGTGAGGGCTCAGACCAAGACGTTTTTTTTAACTGGACCAAGAAATTAAGAAGTTCAGGCAAAGAACAGGATGGGACTTGATAACCATCGCACATATCAATCAAGAAGCTGCTCTATTAATGCTCAGAGAACATCACATAGAAACAGAATTCTTAACAATAAAACAACAAACAGGTGCTTGAATTCACAAATGGGTCGATATTCGGGCATGATCCAATGTTCTTTCAGCTGGCTGAAGTATCTGCCCCCCAAAATTTCCTATAGCGTCCGAATAATACTATAAAAAAATTATTATAACTTACCTGCAGCATACTGAATCCTTTGAGAGATATGGGGTCAGTGGCCTTCAAGATGCCGAAGAGTTACAGCGGACGGAATCTTATTACAAACAGTATATAGTCAACACAAATTATGATATGCTTAGCAGGTCAGGAACTATAATCCCACTTTCTTCTCTAACTTCTGGATTTGGTTCAAGAATATCCATGTCATCTGCAGAAAATCCCATTCCAAAATAAACAACAGGAATCCAGAAATGAACAATAACAAATTCAAATGCGTTAGGAATTACCATGACATGGGGAGCAATCCTCACACAATATACAGGAAACCCTGTATAAAACTTGAAAGGTCCTCCACTCTTTAGGGTCTTCAAAGCACAATCCAAAGAACCAGTATATGGATATTTCCCAGTTGCATCTGGCTGCATCTTCTGAATTTGAGTTTTGACGTAGTCGAAGGGCAAGCTGCAAGCAGATGCAAAGAACCCGGAAACAGCACTTGCCCCTGCAAGCAATAAGTATGCAGTAACATTAAGTCAGTAAACCACATTCTATCTTTGAAAATTCAAGCATTAAAAAAAGAAGAAGTAGTTAAGAAAGAACAACATAGAAGCGATCCAATGTCACTCTGTAAGAATAATTC